ATAGGTTTCTTCTCGATGAAAAGGCCTTTGTGAATTCTGTGCATGTTTGGAACTGCACCAAGCACTTGATTTTTCCATATGCCAACTATTAAGCATCTATTATATGTTATAATGATAATTATTTTTTAGTTATCTTTTAGGATAATCATTCATCAAACTTTTATCTCGGCATTATGGTTTTATTAGTTATATATGTTTCTAGAATTTTCTTCTTAATTTGTAATGCTTCCTTTAGTTCAACTATCTATTCTATGGAATCGATTAAAGATGTTTTATGGACGTCATATCATAGTGTTCTATTTCTGTCTTACCTACACCTTGAACGATTGATTATTCTTTTACCAAAGTCAACTTAATCTAAATCTTTTAGCACATGGGTAAAGCCCAAAGTTATGGGCCAATGTATATAATTTTATGATTATAATATTTTCATATTTATTACGATATCTTAGTTTATTATGCTATTTTCGTTATTTCCTAAGTTTGTAAAAACACGACGATTTCACAAAAGAAAAAAAAGGCAACAAACAGATCTGTCTATCTCGCAATTACTGGCATCTTGTGCTCAAGGTATGCGATTTTTTCTCCTCGGATTGTAAAATAGTTGATTTGTTTGCCTGTGTTGTAGAAATTTACCTTTTATTTCTATTTTAATTTAGATTTTATATGATTGTGACGATATTTTTAGGATTTCCTCCCAATTACGATATCCAGAATATCTCTACTTTAAGTTTTTTTGTTGTTTTTGTTATTCAAATGTATATACTGAAATCGGTTCTCACGATTGTAAAGATATAAAATATACGGGAATTTTAAAACATTAAATCGTGATTCTGAGGTTGGTGTTGTTTTCGTAGTGACTATCGAGCGAATTTAGTATTATGTCTTAACGTCTAACATTGGTATATTTATATATCTTGATCTTGATTTTTAGATAAGTTACTTCGAAGTACATAATTCTCATAGTCTGATTACAGGTAATGGATTCGTACAATCTCATTTCTGATCTACATGATGATAAAACCAATTGGCGTATTAGAGTTAAGGTATTAAAAAAATGGGTTGAGAAGTCTGGAATGGGAGTAGATTCTTTGCAATTTCTGTTGATGGATGAAGAGGTTGGTATTTCATATTTTAAAACTATAATATACTTTACATTAAGTTCAGTTTTATAGATAATATTTTCTACCGCTTTAACCATTTTCTATACAAAGGGTGAACGAATTCAAGCCTATGTATATAATGAAGATCTATGTAAACATTATGAGAAGGCAATCGAAGAAGGAGACCATAAAAGTATCTCAGAATTTATCGTATTCGATGATCCTCTCGAAGAACCAAACACTCTAATTGGCATTAGTATCAAGATATGTATGAACACTGTTATCGTCGATACAAATCCAATTTCAGAAGATGATTCCGTAGGGTCATACACTTTTGCTGACATACTTGGCCAGAAAACGGAACCTGATCAACCCATTGGTATATTTTATCTTTAATTACATTTTTATTATTTATGTCTTATATATTTAACTTTTTTATACTAATTCATTGTTTTAAAAAAAAAAAAAATTATAGACATTTTGGGAGTTGTCATTTCTATTGGCGAGCTGATAACTGTAAAAGACGATAACAAGTATATCAAGCGGACAGGAAAAAAAACAGCAAGCCTCACCTTTACAATTAAAGATCACAAGTACGTTTTTTTATCTTATAATCTGAATGTAGAAATATGCAAAAATAACCATGCTTTGTTTTTGTTGCATAGTGGTTTGTTCTTGGATTGTACCGCGTTAGGACAGATTGCTATCGAATTCAATGACAAGTTCTGGACTGATGAACAATTACCACTGACATGTTTTCTATCGGACTGGTCTGTTAAAAATGAAAAAGGTTTGCTTTTATTCTAACATAATGTTTAAGAGTAATTAATAATCGTAATTATATAAGTTCTTATCATACATGGTTAAATTTATTTTGTAGGACGTATCTATCTAATGTCTAAGGGAGGAGTATCTAGGTTCGAGCTAAATCCTAGATTCCCACGAGCCATAACTTTTGCTCGAAGGTAATTATAGTAATGTAAAAACTTATTATTATTTATTATTTGTCATTATTTAAAAAAAGCTATTTTTGTTTACAGGTTTTGGAAAAAAGAAGAAAAATCAAAAGTGGTTATTAATTTAGGAACTGATGATGACGAAGCAGCTTTGTCATCAACAAAGAAGATGGATTTCGAGATGAGGGGAAAAAACTAATGTTCTTTTAGTGGTGTTTATTATATTATATTATTGTGAACATATTCGTATTTCTTTCGTCTTTTAATACTTCATTATGAACTTTATATTAAGTCTATGCTTATTTTGTTTATCGAATCATATTTATGAAATCAAAAATATACGTTTATCTTTAGTATATTTGCCAAAAATGAAAATTTGCAAAAAATTAAAATAACTAATTACATAATTTCTATTATTAAGTAATTATTATAAATATTAAGAAAAAATAAATAGAATATGTACAAATCTCATATTGTGATATTACCTTCTATTATCTCATCTTAAAAAAATCTAAAATATTTTAGTTACTGTATATTGGTTCACAAAATTTGTTAAATTTACTTATATTAATCTCTTTAAAAAAAAAATGTCATAGGCTAGCTATTTAAAGACTTAGGTCTGTATTCGTATTTGATAATCCCACATCGCAATCAATCGCTTATTGCTGTAAGATATGTTATTTTTCTGCGTAAAATTTCGAATTGATTCTTTGTTAGTTTGTTTTCATATTATTGAATTCGTTTTCATCTGTAGAACGAATCTTGATTGGTTGGTATCATCATGAACTACTTAACTTTCGACAAACTCACCACAAGCGCTCCTGTCGTCGTACTATAGCACGTCTTATTAGAAAGTGGAATCCATATACGGTGATAAAAAAACGGTTTCTGGAGACACAATCTTCTTTTAGTAGATGCTCAGGTTAACATTATTAAAGTTATCATATTGCTATGTGTTGGTTTGTTTATCATAATATAAGAATAGATTTTTAATTATTCTATTACCAACAGGAAAATATAATTCAAGATTCAGTTCATTCCTCTATTCTACGTGTTTATGGTGATCACTTGTTCGAAGGCAGTCTCATTGAGATGTTTAATTTCAATGTACGTCATAATGATATGAGTTATAAGATTACTAATAATCAGTTCATGATTGTGCTAACTGAGCGAACAAGGATATCGCTTTTATCATCTGGAGTACAAATAATACCTAGGGAGAAATTTCTCTTTGTGGATTATGGGTATTTATCAAGGTCAGACGATTTGGTGTGTAGACTATATGGTACGTAATGTTTTAAAATTATGTACCCATTACTTAATTTGATATTTATAGAAATCTAATTATTTAATATTCGAATTGTAGATATCATTGCTTATGTGAAGCATGTGAACAAGACGGATGGTCGGATTGAGGGTCAAGTTGTTGTTAGGAGGCTTGTACTAACCCTTCTAATGGAACGGTATGTTTTTAGACTGATTGAGAATAAGATTTATTTGATATTGAGATATTTAAAATACTAAACAGTCTATTAATTATTTTTGTGATTTAGATTTGTAAACGGTCCTGGAATAGAGATCAACATGGTGTTGTGGGGAGAACAAGCTGAAAATTTTGAAGAAAAGTTTAGAATTTACAATAATACTAATATTGTCTTGATCAGTACAAGTGTATTGGGCATTATCAGAAATGGTTCTGTAACATTGTCAGTTACTCCTGCGTCTAAGTTTTATTTAAACCAGAAATTTCCCTCTGTTGCTGCTCTCAGAACGAGGTATAAAACTTTTTTACTTATTATATTATTAGCATTGTTTATCAATACATTATTTCTTATTTTATTAATAAATATTTATAATAGGCTCCTTTATGATGGGATATGCTCAATGATTGTGGTGAATCTGTTCAAGAATACTCTGCTGCAAGCCTCCAAAATCACGAGTTTTTATGTTTATCAATGTCTAAGATAAAATATTCATGGTTGGATTAAAATATATCTATGGTTTAAAGTGTGTTTTTCTCAATTTTTATTATTAGCTAACATGTTATTCATATTAGTTGATTAAAACAATATCTTTTTGGGTATTTATCATTTAATATTAAAATAGAATTGGTTAACTCAGAATCCTCATATCTAAATACGATTCGTACGAAATGTTTTATTCTAATTTTCATTAACAAAAACATTTATAATAAATATATTTGGTAATTATTATACATTAAAAAGTATGACCTAAAAAATGTATGTATTTATTGTTTTAAAAAAACTATTGTGTATAATTGGAAGATTGTTAATATAACATAATTTAACTTCTGAATTCATGTATTAGCGTGTCTATATGGAAATATCATAGCATTTTAATAAAATATAGAAAATTTCCCACTAATTTAAATGGATATCGTTGGATATGTACGATCTATTCTAATTTTAGGGTTTAGGGTACGATTTTCTTTAATTTAGATACTAAATGGATCTTTAATATGTAAATTTATCATTATTCAAGTAGATATTTATGTAAAGTTTGGTATTATCTCTCTAATATAGATTTTTTTTGGTTTCGCTGTTTAATTAAATACATAATATACATATATCAAAATTAAAGTTTGAAAAAAAAAATTAAACACCAATGCATGCTACTGGGAATATTCAGCCTACATCAGTGATTGATAGACCAATGCATGATTCATATAAGTCTTTGAATCAATAATTATTTTTTTGAAAAGTCGCAACTTTACATAAAAATTTAAACAGTATGTTCTGAAAAGTTGCAAATATACATAATCTATTGACAAAATTCATTGAATCTACCTACTTACTTATTTTGTTCATTCCCTATATATATATATTTTCTTACCAAGAAGAATAGTTGTTCTTCAAATAAACATATCAACCCAAACAAAGAAAAAAAAAACATAAAAGATTCCAAGTCCTTATCCTTCGTGATGGATTCATATGATGCAGTTCGTGATTTGCATGCATGGAGGACCGACTGGAACATTGGCGTCAAGGTCTTGAGGCGATGGTTTATTGTTCATCGAAATGGGAATCCAGGCTTAGCATTCGTTTTCGTTGATGAACACGTAAGCTCGTGATAACATATATGTTTTTATTGTACTTTAACATGTTATATAATGCGATTGACATTATATTTGTTTATAATTCAGGGCTCTAGAATTTATGGTACTTGTGGTGCTACGTGTTATGAGTACTTCGAGAGGGTTTGCCCTGAAGGAGGATGGGTAAGACTGACCAATTTCGGCTTGATTCGGTCGGATTGGGAAAGGAAGGAAAGAGTTACTAAACACAAATCCCAGATCACTCTCAACTCGGAGACCAAGGCTTCACGGATCAGGCCATTGTCTGAAGATCCCTTCATGAATTTCGTTGATTTTGATGATATTTATAATCGTCCTTATAATCTCTTGTACCCAGTCGGTATGAATTTGGTTTACACTCTTTAAAAATCGAAACCCGATAAATGTTTTAGAATAGTTTAGTTGTTTAAAAATTATTTGATTTTATGCATGCATGGCTAATAAAGTACTTTATTTTTTGCAGATCTTATTGGAGTGTTGGTGAATGTTGATGAACTCTTAACATCTGAGTCCTCAAGTGGAAGTACTGAAAAAATGCTGAAGTTCACTATCAAGAATCTTGAGTAAGAATACTTTAAGTTTGATTCATATAATTTATGATAAATAATCAGGAAAATAATTTTAATTTTGACAAAGGGATCGGACTGTTAATTGCTTGGCTCATGGTGATTTTGCTGTTGATATCAAGAACCAGACTGTAGGCGTAGATGGTCCGGTTGCGATTTGTGTATTGACGGATTGGATGATCAACAAATATCAAGGTATGTGATCTATAAATTTAAATGAGGTTTTATATCACACTACAAGAAAGAGGGGCTTTTCCGTCGAATTATTTACGACGATTTGTAGTCGTCGTAAATTTACGACGACATTACGTCGTATTTACGACGATAAAAAATTTCGTCGTAAATTCGACGTAAAAAATAACCCTCGTTAAATCGTCGTAATGTTACGACGATATTACGACGAATAAAGAACAAATTTTATTTCGTCGTAATCTTGTCGTAATATTTACATCGATAATACGACGAATTGTCCTCTATCTTGTAGTTGACGTAAAATCGATGTAAATGTGATGTAAATTTTATTTCGACGTAAATTTGATGTAAATATGCAATGGTAATATGTTGGTAACCAAACAAAAAATTCTATATATACCCTTTCTTCTCTCATTATTCCATCAACCAAAAAAACATATAAAGACACAAATTTTTTGAGTCTTTGAATGTTTAAGTAAAATTTTTAGTAGTTGAAATTTCTATCAAATTTCAGAAAAAAGAAGTCAAATATTTGTTTTTGAAATGTCTATATACGATCTACGAAAGTGGATGTATACGCCCAAAAATGGTGATGGGTCGTTGACTGAAGACTTCAAAAACGGATTGGAAATATTCATGTACCAAGCCGGCCTTCTGGAAACTGTAATTGAAAGCGGCAAAATGTATTGTCCTTGTGTGAAATGCAAAAATAGGAAACATATTCTTATTGACACTGTCTGGCAGCATTTATTGAATAGAGGGTTCATGCCCCAATACTTTATTTGGTATCAGCATGGAGAGGGATATGGTCAAAGTAGTGGTCAGATGGCTGCACGGAGTAGTAGTAATCATCAAGAACATGTGGATTTTGAAGCGTCCAATGATTATCAAAGTAGTCAAGTTCAGGGTGAAGATCATGATAGGATGCATGAAATGATTACTGATGCATTTCATGAAACACATGCTGATACTGTTGAGGAGCCCAATGCAGATGTGAAACGCTTTTATGATATGTTAAACGCAGCAAAACAGCCTCTGTGCGAGGGATGTAGGGAAGGTTTATCAAAATTATCATTGGCAGCTCGGATGATGACAATAAAAACTGATCACAATCTATCTGAAGTTTGCATGAACGATTGGGCAGATCTTATTAAAGAGTATTTGCCAGATGATAATTTGGCTGCTGAAACGTATTATGAAATTCAGAAGCTGGTTTTTAGTCTTGGATTGCCTTCTGAGATGATTGATGTTTGTGTTGATAATTGTATGCTTTTTTGGAGAGATGATGAGAAGCTTGAAGAATGTCGTTTCTGCCAAAAGCCAAGATATAGACCGCAAATTGCTGGGCGTAAGAAGATTCCTTACCAACGAATGTGGTATCTTCCTATCACTGATAGGTTAAAAAGACTATATCAATCCGAACGGACAGCTGCGTCGATGAGATGGCATGCGGAACATTCACAAACAGATGGCAAAGTGACTCACAAACATTCACAAAAGTTGCTCCAAGGGGTATAATTGATGGTGTAGATCTCCCGCCAATGCAACAAGATGATTGTGTCGACATTACAGCACCGGATGTTGAAGAAAATGTTCTTTTAATTGATCCACGTAATCGACAAGTCGAAGATCTACATGGGGACGAAACTGAAGAAGGTGCTGACGAATTTCAAACAAGCAGTGATGATGATGACAATGATGATGAGGACACCGAGAAAAATGTTGATGAAGACTAATTAAATATGTTGACATTTAATTGCATGCTTTGAACGTTTCAATGTAACATTAATTAAAGCCAATTAATGAAAACTAATTAAATGTTGATGAAAATTTGTTAAAGTGTTGACTTGGACATATGTTGACTTTTACGACGAATTTACGACGATTTTTTTGGAATTCGTCGTAAATTCGTCGTAAAATGCAAACCCTAAACCCTATAGGGTTTAGCTTTCCCAACTTACAGAATGGTTTTTGGGTTTATTTTCCTAAGTAAACTGATGTATTATATAAGGGTCTGTAGTATAAGGTTCAGGAACTTGTAGAAATGTGGTTTTATTACGACGAATTTACGACGAATGGGTGTTAACGTCGTAAATCCGTCGTAATATACCATCGAGATTACGACGAATGGGTGTTAACGTCGTAAATCCGTCGTAATATACCATCGAGATTACGACGAAATGTAACCCCTAAATCTTATAATCTATCTTTTCTGGGGTTTAGGGGGGATTTTGATGAAGAGAATGAAATGTCTTACCATCTCATAAGGTAAAACAACTTTCTAAACAAAAAAAAAAAAATTCAAAATTTGACATATATGTGTTTATCAAATAATCTTAAGGTGTTATATACATTTACACAAGATGTATGGATTTATCTTACATCTTACTAAATTCTTCATTAAGTTATGTAAACATGCTAGAAAGTTATACACACCACATTTATCATGAATAGACATGCTTGTATGTCCTTATGGATGTTTCAATTTTTGAATTTCATCAGTTTTGGTATAATTCGTCGTAAATTCGTCGTAATATTACGACGAATTTACGACGATTTGTGGATACACAGCCGTCTTAAATTTTTATGATTTATACGACGAATAACACAGATCATCGTAAAATCGTCGCAAAGCCCAGATACAGCTACATGTGTTTGTCTTATTCGCTTTATTATACGGTGGGACCTTTGCGACGAATTTACGACGGATTCGTCGTAAATTCGACGTAACTATTACGTCGAATTTACGACGAATATAAATTCTATATATAGGACCTCACCCCTTCCTCATTTCGTCGCTTATCTCTCCTTCCTCTCTCTCTGTTTCGTCCTCTCTTGCATTCCTCCTCTTTTTGACGCAAAAAAAAGGTAATTATTTTTTTTAAATAACTTTAAATTATTTTACTATTAAATAGTTTAGAAATTCAAACGGTTTAGGTCGGGAATTAGTTTAGGCTCGGAATTTGGTAGATTTAGGATCAGAATTTCTTAGATTTAGGATCGTAATTAAAAATTAATTGTAATTAACTTGAAAAATAAAATTTTATCGGTTTTGCAGACGATGACTCGACGGAGGACGCATTACATCAATTTCATGGCGGACGGACACTCTTCCCGGGCGTCTGCCTCGGGAAACACCGGTACCGATGTCCCTTCATCTTCCGGAGCCTCCCAGGTTCCGAATACCGCGGAGCCGTCTCCACCACCGCCTCCACCATCGCCTTCACCACCACCTCCACCGCCGGCTGCCGAACCGGTACCCGCCCTTCCTCATCCGTATGCCCAGTTTACGGTTGAGGATTTACTAGCCCTACCGGGACGGGGGGCTTTACGACGTCTGGTTCCCGGAAAAGCGGAACCGGGCTCTTATTGGTAAGTAAACTTTTTAGTTTTTTATATTTTTTTAAATTAATGTTTTAATTTACTTAAATATTAATGTAATAAGTTTTTTTTTTGTTTCATAGGTTTAGTTTGGATAATTGTGTCGGTCGGAGCGTTTCCGACACAATTAAGAGTCATTTCGTGGAGCCACACTACAATTGGAGCAAGGTGTCGCAAGAGACGTTCGACACCTGGTACAAGTGCTTTGCGGTACGTAATATTTTTTAAATATTATTTATATCATTTTAAATTGTAGTAAAATTCAATTAATCTTACTTTTATATTATTTATCTAATTTTTTATTTTCTTTTGCAGCAACGGTGGAACTGGGACATCGAGATCAACGAGACGGTCCGCGAAGCTTTCCGGCTGAAGGCGCAGAAACGCCTAGTCAACACCGTTTCCGATTGGAAGCGGAAATAGGAGACCGACGGCGACGACGCAAAGCCGAGCTCCATGTCCACTACCTGTTGGAATGGGTTGAAGGCGTACTGGCTGGACCCGCATGCCCAAACCACCGCTGCTAAGTGTTCGGCCGTCCGAAACCGGGTCGATCCGGTGACTGGTGAGAAGTTAGTGACCCCGCACACTTCTGGCCAAATATCTTTTGCGGAAAGACGTCTCATGATGGTAAGTAATTATTATTTTAATTTAATTTTATTTATTGCTATAATTTATTAAATATTTTTCACTAATGTTTACTAATTCGTAGGCCGAGGAGAACGGAGGAGAACTACCTCCAATGACGAAGCTCTTCGAGACCACTCACCGGAAGAGGGACGGGAGCTTTATCGACGCTCGGTCCGAGGAGATCTACAATGCCGCTATGCAGCGGATCGCCGAGCGGGAGACCCAGGCCACACCTGACGGTACTATCCAAGTACCGTTGACCGTCGCTGAGCAAGACCAGATTTTCGAAGAGGTATGATCTATTTCAATTTTTTTAAAAATTTATTATATTTATTACTTAATAAATAATTAACGTTTTTATTTTCTATTTGTAGGTTGCTCCGAAGAAGAAGGGCCGAACTTTAGGGATGGGCTCTATTAGAGACTATCCTGCCGCCTCGGCTTCCGGATTCCGCACGCAGGAGGATCCGAGTCAGCTTCGCCAGGAGCTTGCTACGGCCAATGCTGAGATCACCACTCTCAGACATGAGCAAGTGGCCCAGAAGCAGGAGCTCACCGAGATGCACGGTCTCTTCGACATCATTGCGGAAGCGGTTCCGCAGTTGGCCACCGCAATCCGAGCGAGGCAACAGCGAGCACGAGGGGTCTTTGAGACCGGTGGTACTTCCGGTACTGGACCATCGGACCAGCAGACGCAGGGTCAGTCTTCGGCTCCGGTAGTGCAGACGGGAAACGACGGTCCAGCAGCGACGGGCGGCCAAGACGGAGAGCCTCCTCGTGACGTCGATCTGAACCTCG